GCTTTGCCCCATTTTCGATTGTACCTCATAATCGCTATTTTGTGTTCGTGCTCATTCGGTTCCTTAGCTACTTGGTCCTTTTGCCAATTTGTATTATTTGCTTCTTCTACCTCTGTGTTGATGACTCTCTATTATGCCCTTGCTTATGATTTGGATGCTTGCTTCTCTGATGTGGGGCATTTTCCTCTTAGTTTAGGAGCATATGCCGTCACCGGTCTCAACCCCTAAAAGTGTCCTTTTTTTGCTTTGGTCTGTCTCGCAACTGCTGAAAATTTTGCCCTTGCCCTCCTCTTCATGTTAGACATTGTTCCTCATTGCTTGCCCTGCCTCTAGATCATTTCTCAGAACACCATTCCATAAATTTCACTTGCTCCTCCCCAGGTACTTTCTCATTTTTATGCTTCCGTCTTAGGGCTTATCCTACATGGAGTCTCTTTTTTCCTTACACTCCATGGTTATTTACTATAGGGCTATTAGGGAGAAAAGAGTCCTTGTCCTCTACGTATTCAATTTCCCTAAATATTTATAGCGAACGTCTATAACAACTCATCACAAGCAGCCCTCCTCATTTCAAGATAAACTAGCTTGTATTTTGTTCGATGAGGAAATCTCTGTGTTGCTATATCTTTTTTCTTTCTCCCTTTTTGAAAATTTTTCATGAGATCATCCTATTATGAAGGATGTTTGTAGATTCATGGTCAATCTGCACTTAGTTAGGGGTTGTGCTGTTCGATTTACTGATTTTTGTCATTGTTCTTATTAAGTTAGTGCAATAATATGATTATTCAAAACTTTTGTCTTGAAGGTCATACCATGTGGATAGGTTCCTAATATATAAATATATATATATATATATATATATATACATACATACTATAGTGGTCATGTCATTTTGAATATGTTTTCAAATATCCAATTACTCTAGTTTGTGTTATTTTTTCACGTCTATGTAGTCACCACTTAATCAATCCATTTTGTATTATGTTGGCTCAATTTTTGTTAAACCGCTTTAAATGGATATTGCTATTGTTAGGCTATCTAGGCTGTCAATTGCTATGTTATTGATCAAAAGGTATACTGTGCCTTCAGAGAAAGAAAATTGGATTGATTTCATAGCTAGTGGCCGCTGGAAAAGTTAAAGTCAAAGACATTCCTCTTTATTATTTTTCTTGAAAATTGTTTGGTCATAAGTTCCCAGGATGTTTCAAGGCACACCCAGAGTTGAGGAAATCTTATAACTGTGGTGGCGGGTATCATTATTTTGGCCAAATTTTTTTCTTCTAATGCTATGTTGGAAGTTTCTACTACTTTTGATTTGGTTTATACACAAAACTTTGAATCCTTCTTGGAATTAGCATCTTCTCGGCCTACCAGCCCAGCAAATTGGATTTGCCTCGTGCCTAGTCACATGAGTTTCTTAATCTGGAGCCACATAGGGGTTTTGCTCTTGATGATTATGGTGTTGTTGGGGATATCGGCGTTCTAAATTTTTTTTTTGGCTTTGATATTTGCATTTCTAGCATAGAAGAACTATCTAACAAGAAATGTCAAATTCCATATAACAGGATTGGGGAAAAAGAAAGAAAATACATCAGGCTTTAAGTTAGATGTTCTTAATGAGGGACCTTGGAAATTTTTACTTTTGGGAGTTGGTTTATTTGCTGCATGTTGGCATTTTAGTGTATTTTATTTGTAGTTCTTTTCATCTAGCAATGTTATGCAATTACTTCATGTTATACTCGTCTCAATGACTGATGATAATATTTGTTTGCCTTTAATAAAAAGAGTGCATCGATAATTATTTTGAAAAATTAGAAGACCTCGTGATATGACAGATGGTGTACAATCATAAAGTTCAGGCACCCATGTTTTAATCATTCAATGCGCTTGACCTTTTTGTAAACTTAAGGATGGTTTATGTGTTGAAATTCTCTCGTAGATTGATAAGCTTAACGTTATATTGAAACCTTTTAGCAATATTCCCTAGTTTGTGCTAGGTTTGGCAGAACCTCGGAAGATAAATTGTTTATTTTCTAGGCATCAAATACTATATAGCTTGGGAGGATTTCTAATTGGTTTTGATGACTTTGGTGGCTTAAGAGTTGATCAAGGAATTATTGGAGTTCTACTTTATAAAACATGTTATGGGGTATAACACTTACTTCTATGGTGTGGAACCTTTTTGTGAACAAGTGGGTGCTTTGGCCTCACATTGCAATATCTGGCCATCATTCTTATCTACTGAACAATTAAATTGACTAGCATGTATTCTTGCTCTATAGTTTTCTAGTGGATTTTGTTATTTGTGATTTATTTAATTATTTATCATATTTAGGTCACTCATGTATGCCATTATTTAATGATAGGTCTTATGGTTTAAAACGACCACACTTGGTCCTCATATTTACTTTGATTTATTCATAGGTTCTTCTATCTAGATTATATTAAGGATAATTAAAATATCGTTTTTATCTTTTTAATCCAATCAATTTTCTCTCTTCTTTAAAATTATGCATCCAGATTTGCCTTATTCTCTCTTGCCCATTCTCATTTCCGTTCATCCTCTTTCTCTTGCGCTCATTCTATTTTTTCATCTCTTTATTCCTAAAATAAGGTCAGAAAGGTTTCTTGGGCAATTTCATTTAGAAAAAAAATTCTTTGACTAAACTGCGTTGCTAGTAAAATCCAAATAGAAGTAAACTTCTTGTTGATTATGATAAATATTAATGACCTCATCATCATCATCATTACATCATAAGGCTTATCCAGATTATTTGCGATTGACTTTATGAATCCTCATATTTCATTTATTCTTACCAAGTATTGTATGGGTGTTAAACTTTATTTTCATAAAATTTGGACAGCTTTTATTCATTTTGTTCTTATATCTATTCCTTTTCTTTTCCAGTCCTTCAAAATCAATAAAAAACTTCTTAAATTTTGTACTGTTGCTTTGTATACTTTTCTTTAAGCGTCTTTTTCAAATCTCACCTCTACAACAGATGTTGCATAATAATAAATTGGTTCTCCATTGTTGATATAATTTTTCTAAGCTTATGTTCTATTGCCCTTTGACTCGTAAGATTGCTTAGTTCTTATAAACTGGCACGAAAATGCTTTTTCTTCAATCATTGACATCTTATTTGAAAGATTTTATACTATTCCGATATCAACCAATCTTTAAATTTCACTTGATATATCATCTTAACTTAAAGTCCTATTTTATGCAATTTCTTTTGAGTTAATTCCTATTAACTCTTAGGATTTTGATAATAATGAATTGATTCTCCATTATGGACATAATTTTTCTAAGCTTATGTTCCATTAGCCTTTGACTTATAAGTTTTGCTTTGTTCTTAAAAACTGGGGACAGAGTGCTTGTTCTTCAATCATTGATATCTTATTTGTCCATAGAATTTCATTATAAGATGTTGTATTATTCCAATATCAACCACTTTAAATATCAATTGATATATCATCTTAAACTACAATTTTATTTATGCAACTTTCTCTGAGCTAACTCCTATGAACTGTTAGAATTCTGATCCTTTTGCCCATTTATAATATTTTATTTATTTGAAGTCTCTCATTTAATAATATACAAATCCCATTTTCTTTGAAGTCTTTATCTTTATCGAATAATTTATCTTCACTCTTTGTAAATTTCACGTGATTAAGCTCTCCAAGCCACTTTTCTATTATCTTTGCTACGTAGTATCTCTTTTCTCATTCATAGCATCCAACGCATCACGTAAATTATGGGAGGATGTAGCGGTGGTTTTTTAAATTGTTATGCGATTTTTAGGTAACAAACATCTCAGTGGCGCAGCTAAATATGAGTGCCTCTGTATATGGGATTGAAGAAAACATATGAATGGAGGACACAAAAATGAGATTAGTAGATGCTATCAAACCTTAAACTTTCTAATCATATAACTCTTTCGACCAAGTACCGTTCTCATGTTTTTGCTAGATTCTTGCGGAGAAAAAAATGAACTAAATACCCTTGCCTATCCCATGGTTTAAAATTGCGTAATATGAGGCTCGCCTTGAGGCCCGCCTTTGCGCAATTCCAGTAAAAAACGCCTTGATGCTTACGCCTTGAGTTTTTTTTATGAGGCTTGCGCCTCAAATTGGTTGAGGCCCGCATTGAGGCCTGCCTCGCCTCACTGGCATGAGGCCTACACCTCTCGCTATATATATTAAAACTTACTTAAATCTTGAAGTAAATGCCCGACATTGGACTCTATAGGAGAGGAGGAAGGGGAGAGAGCAGTTCATCATAATGATGATTCAAATGAAGAACCCCTTAGTGATGACAGTGTTGATGACTTATGAGTTCTTATGTGATATATCATTGCTATTTATTTTTGGAAATCGGAATTATATGTTAATGAAAAGAATACTGGGATTTCGGAAAGGTAGAATTTTGAGTTGAACTATATTTCATGTTGTCTTATTATTGAGATATTTTGATTTCACTTCATATCTTATGCTTTGTTTATGTTTTATATTATTCACTCATTAGTATATAACAAATTTATCATTTTATGTTTACGCATTCTTTTGATTTTGAGGCTTACGCCTCAAAACGCCTTGAGGCTTACTCCTTGCCTCACGAATGAAAAACGCCTCAATACCCGAATACGCAATTTCAAACAGTGGCCTATCCAGCCTTGGACTAGAAATGTTCAGTTTGTTGGTAGACCATAACAGGAGGAATTATGGAAACATGAAATTTATAAGATGAATGGATTGAATAAGGCTTGATTTGATTTGCTTCTACTCAATTTGAATACTACTACTTCGACATTATTGCAAAGGATTAAGCTATGTTATTCTATGCATAACAAGCTTAGATTCCATCTCGCCTTTTCGTCAAAATATTTTTTTTATTCTTTTTGTGCATTCTCTTGATGTACAATATAAGCTTGCTATCTGCTTTTCACTGTCATCTTGTTGAGAGCTTTCCTCTTTTTTGTATTTCTGACTTTTAACAGCTTTGTCACATTGGTGCATCAATAATCGGAAAAAAGCTCGACAGATTGTTGAGATCTGGGAGAAATTGTTCAATAGCTCTTCGAAAGAACAAAAGGTTCCTTTTTTGTATCTTGCAAATGATATACTTCAGAATAGTAGGCGCAAGGGAAGTGAGTTTGTAAATGAGTTCTGGAAAGTGCTTCCTGGTTCCTTAAAAGGTGCCCATGAAAATGGCGAAGAGAATATAAAGAACTCCGTGATGAGATTAGTGAGTCATTTCTTCATTTTCTTTAATTTTATTACACCAAATAATGCTTAGTTACCAATGGCATCTATTAAGTGGATGACACCTAATTTGATATGTCCCCTTCCGATGTTTTTAGCATGTAATCTAATCATTCTATTTGATTAATTGTGTTAAATATATTTGCATACCTATTTCTACTTCTACACATATGCCTATGCATGATAAACATGTCTGCATATATGCATTAGTTTCCCTTTTCAATGTAACTGTTTATTTTTCTATTTAAAAGGTTTTATTTATTTACATACTTATCTTTCATTGTTATCAGGTACGAAGAAGTTTTTCTTGTCAGCTAAATCCCTCTATTTGATTTCTAATATTAAATATGCTTAGGTACATATTTGTTTTGTGATTACACTCATTTGGTGATGCAATCAAAAAAATCTATAGGGCATCTAGATTGCATATAAACTTTCGTCTTACTTTTAAAAAATAATTTTAACAAATACAAACTCAATTAAAATGAAATAAAACGACACCTTACAACTTTCATATATTTTAGAACATAAAAAAACCTAAAATAGCTTTTCATAGTTTGAGAAGAAAGATACAAATGGGGTGGACACTTGCGGCGAGAAGAAGTAGATAAGAACCCCGAGACGAATTCATAGAGAGGGGAAGAGAAAGGGACTAGCTCACAAGCTTATCCAAGAAGAAACCCACAGGTTTTTAGCTCCAAAAATTCATCTCCACAAAACTCTCTAAAAAGTCACAAATCAGCAACCATATATAAGAGAGGAGAGGGAGCCAAACTGCCCAAACAGCCGCCCTATGCATCCAATCGGCAAAGGGGAGGCAGAATGCCAACAGGCAGCCGACTGGAGCAGCACACAAAGGGGTAGCAGGACACAGCCAACGAACGTGCAATGCCAGAAACCGGGCAAGCACGGAAACAAAGGGCCAAACAGGGAAAATGAACCGAACAGCCAAGTGGGTAGAAATAAAAAAGCCATGGAACAGGAACAACCACCAGGAATCAGCCGATCAAGTCCCAACACCAAACTATGGGAAATAATTGGCCAAGCCCATATATAGAAATATAAGCCCACCAATAAATACCCAAATATGCATGCCTTGCATCAATTTCAGCCACTCCCCCCCTGCCTACATCAGATTCTCCTCCGGTTGAAAGAGCTCATCACATGATGAGATGAATTTAGAATTTTCTTGACGAGTTGAAGGCGCAACTTCTAATTCTTGAATTAAGGTTGCATATTTTCTCTGAATCACTTCTCTTTCTTTCTTAAACTGGTCTTGCAGAAGTTTCTTTTTATTATCGTATTTTTCCGTACACAAGTGCATTTTCATCTGAAGTTTGTATAACTCATTTTGAATCGGATTAGTAGAACTATCTTGGGAAGGAACCTAGCTGTTGTTTGGAATTTGGACTTCAAGATTACTTGGCTGATTTTCACCCATGGTTTCATGTTTTTCCATTTTTGTAAACACTTAATAAAAGGAGACACAAAAAACCTAGTCTCTGATACCAAATTGATGCAATCAAAAAAATCAATAGGGTATCTAGATTGCATATAAACTTTCATCTTCCTTTCAAAAAACAATTTTAACAAACACAAACTCAACTAAAATGAAACAAAACGACACTTTACAACTTTTATATATTTTAGAACGTAAAAACACCTAAAACATCTTTTCGTAGTTTGAGAAGAAAGATACAAATGGGCTAGACACTTGCAGCGAGAAGTAGTAAGAAGCCCGAGACAAATTCATAGAGAGGGGAAGAGAAAGGGGACTAGCTCGCAAGCTATCCAAGAAGAAACCCGCAGGTTTTTAGCTCCAAAAATTCATCTCCACAAAACTCTCTAAAATGTCACAAATCAGCCACCATATATAGGAGAGGAGAGGGAGGCAAACAACCTAAACAGCCGCCCAATGCAACCAATCAGCAAAGGGGAGGCGGCCAACAGGTAGCCGATTGGAGCAGCACACAAAGGGGTAGCAGAACACAGCCAATGAACGGACAACGCTAGGAATCAGCCAAGCAGGGAAAGGAAGGGCCAAACATGGAAAATGAACGGAACAGCCAAGCGGGTAGGAACCAAAAAACCACGGAACAGGAACATCCACCAGGAATCAGCTGAACACGTCCCAACACCAAAAAACATGAAATAATGGGCCCAGCCCATATATAGAAATATAAGCCCACCAATAAATCCCCAAATATGCATGTCTTGCATCAATTTCAGCCAACCCCCTTTGCCTACATCATTTGGGTATCACTGTTAATCACTTAAAATTTTTTTCTGAAGGAAGAATTATTATGGTTGATTATCAAACGGTGATCTCCGAGAATATAGCACAATTGAGATTACATTTTTCTTTGGGAGTAGGATGATCAAACTATCAGTATGTTCCTTTTGAACATTTGGGAAGTATTTTGCTAGAATAACCTTATTCTATTATGGCCCCACTAAAAGTTTTGAAAGTGGTTAAACCTAGATCAACTTGGATATTTGTACTTCATATGATCATCACTTAATGATATTCTCAATAACTCAGGAAAAAAATCTCATTATAAATCCATTGGTCTTGAAATAACTTCCATACTTTTTTTATATTGTCATTTTTACCTATTTTGGTGTTTAATTTTGAACTTCTTTTTTATGTTTAAATATAGTTTCAAGTTTCATATAAACAACTTTCATATAAATATAGTTTCTTGCATCTATTAGCATTGTCTTTTTTTTATTGTATGTGAATGTCTCAACAAGATTTACATATCATATTTGAATTGGTCCTCCAAAACTTTTGATTGTTAAATTAAATATGTGCATCTTTTAAATTTAATTTACTAATCTATTTTCTAGCCCTATTAATTTGTAGAGGGGCATGTTTTTTACTTATGCTAGAATGGTAAGCTCCAAGTGATGCGAGTCACTATTTTTTCATGAAATAATATTTAATGTTGTAACTATTCATATTTTGGATCATTTATAGTACCAACAAATCCTCCATCAACTTAGCAAGTGATTTGGTTTGTTAGCAAATATAATAATTTAAAATTTTCTTCTTATTTAAGGACCTAACCTCCTTATCTAGTGTCAAGTCATTCACTATCACTATCAATTGTCGCTATTTTGTGGTTATGTGTGCATATGGTGTGTGTGGTGTGAGGATTGACTTTGATTGCATCGATACTTACACTACGCCATGTTTACATTGTCGCATTTTACACCAATCAAAGTTTACAATTGCGCAATTGGGAATTGAGGCATTTTTTTTTTGAGACGAGGCGTAAACCTCAATGCATTTTGAGATGTAAGCTTTAAGATAAAAAAATTATATAAAGTGAAAATAAATGTTAAAAGTGATCTTTTAATAAATATTCAAATAATTGTTAAAGGATGCATATTAACTTTTTATTAAACTATGAAGTAACAAATTGACATATATACAATAACAATAATAACACAACAACATAATCAAGTCTTTATCCAACTACTTGGGGTTGGCTACATGAATTCTTTTTCTCCATTGTGTTTGGTAAGATTCAAATTTTCATTTAAATCTAATAAAGAAATATCATTTCTAATATTTTATAACTAAGTCTTTTTATGTCTACCTCTACCTTTCTTAACAAAAGCCAAATCTAATACATCTACTGTAAAACACGAAAAATAACGATCTTCAGTGTTGCATGTATTTCGATGTGCCATGACGAGATTAAGTAAAATTTTGAAGTCGTCAGAATTCGACATAATAAATTTTATAAAATAGTATGCAAAATTTTGAGCGAATCGGTATAAAGAATCCATATTGAATTTCGTGTATTTTGGAAGTAAAAATTTATCGAAGTCTCAATACGACAAGATTGCCCTTGATGTCATTTAAGTAAAAATAATTTTAAGTAAGGGCATTTAAGATCTTTTGTTTTAAGACCCAATGCCCCACTCTTATTAGGGATATTTCGGTCCCCATTTCTTTCTTACGACTCGAACCGAGCGGAAGAATCACGGGAAAGAGGCGACCGGAGCGGCGACGGTGGTTTTTGTTTATAAGAGTTTTCTCATTCTTTTATGGAGTTCTCTCTAAAGGGGGAAATTTAGGGTTTTGTGAAAACTCAATTTTTTTTAAGATAAGGATAGGGAAGGTTTAGAGGATGTTTCTAAACACAAAAATGAGATTATTCCTTGAAAAATATGGATCCTAAAATTTAGGGTTTTCTCTTATTTTCGTATTCTTTTAAAATAGCTTTGTAGGAAAGTTTCCTAATGACGTTATGGAGCTTATTTATGAAGCTAGTTAATTTTTTAGAAGAAATTTTTATGCTCCAAAATTTAGGGTTTTCCAAAACCATGAATAAACCTTTAAGTGTGTTGGTTCCTAATGAACTTAGGGAGGTTTAAAAGTAAAGATTATACCTTTAGCACAAATTAATATGAAAATTTATTGTATGTTAAGTTTAAGTGAAAGAGAGGGTTTGTATGCATTAGGTGAGTGAAGGAAATGAAGGAGATTTCCAGAGAGCTAGATTTATTATTATGCCCCAATTTAAAGGAAATAAAAATTGTATTTATCTTAAATTGGAAAAAAGGGTTTGAGTAGAAAGTTTAAGCAAGGTGTATGGATAAGTTCTTTGTTCATAGATTAGGATTTTTAGAAGTTTAAGATAGAACAAATTAATGTTTACACTTTATGTATATCTCTTGTAGATATTGATCACGTAAAGGGGAGGGTTCGTAAGGTATTTGACGAATTACACTGTGGTGAGGTACGTAAAATGAAATTCTTTTAAATTTAGAAAGTTCTTTAATTGCGAACATGTAGAAATGGTATTTTTGTTTATGCTATTTGTAATATCATTTATGGCTAGCATATTTTTATATAGAAGCTCATGATCACATGATACAAAAGCAAAGTTCTTATGCATTGTTAAAACCAAATGGTAGAGCTCATGCTTCTTTCTTTAAAAGTATTACATATGCCTTCTCCTACATACA